CCTGGACTAGGGCATAAACAGCTCATTAGATCTCATAGTATTAATCAGAACAATCTGAAATCTTCTGGATAATATTAGACAATACTAATATTTCAACGTATTTGTTCGGCTTTGCAGTATGCAGTCCATTAAACGTTAGCAAGGTCTATCTGATCACACTCTACAGAGAGTAAAATAATTTCTCAAATATACTGCTGTACAAATATTTGCAGGTCAAGATTTTTATATAAAAGCATCTATGAACTACTGCAATTTAACATAATTTCCAGAATGCTATATAAGATATCCCAAAAAAATGCATTATCACTTTTTACATTTTCAATCATATTATTACCGCATACAGAAAGACAAGGTTTTTGGGAAGGTGTGTTTATTTATTTTACATTTCTTTGTTTATTTGCTTTTTAGAAAGCAACAAACATATATACCAAAAGGTACAAAAGCATTTTATAACAAAATATAACAAAAATTCGAGGAGAGCACATAAAGACAAACAAATCCGTGTTATATGTATAAACTGAGTAAACTCAACAAATTAACAAAACACGCCATAAGGAGATACGGCTCTGTATAAGGGTAGTAGCAACATGTAAAGGAAAGGAAATGTGTAGGTTATTACTAAGAGAGGTAGTTCACATGGAGTGAGAGAGGGAGGAAGAGAAAGGGATGTTTATTATTGGCAATCTGTGCAGTATTGGCAATGGGCTGTCTGGTTGTTATCCATTAGTTTTTCCATCGAATTTGCTGGGGAAAGGAAAAAAACAAAACAAAAATGAACACAGTGGAGCTTGAGATATTGGTATCACAATCCCCCCCCCCGCCCCCCCCCCAACCCTTCCAAACAGAGTCTGACATAAAATAAATTAGGAACAAAAGCCATCAGTGCTGATCAATCTTTGATTACTTGTGCTGAATTACTTTCCTAATAAAAGTAATGAATTTGCCAGTTATTCTAACCGATTGTATCACAGTGCAAGCTTAGTATACTATAGCAGAAATAACACACTTTTAGAACAACTATTCAGCCCTCTTTGTAGAAGAGCCAACCAGTCCTTGTAGAGGGAAATAATCATAGTTATTTCAGTAAAAGGCTCGAGGACCTGTGAGTGAAAACTCTCATTCACACACTTCAGGAATAGCAAAATCATACACTACACCCTATTCATTCACGGAACTCAGAAACCATATTCTGCACTCACAGACACTGAGTTCTGTGAGTTAATACTCTGTACATTATTAATTTAGGGACCCAGACATATGAGACTGAAAACTCTAAATACTGCTCACTCTCAGATTCTGACATCTAGGAGTTAATATTCTGCTCAGAGAATCCAGGAACAGAGAGTTAACACTCTGCACAATGACAACACACAGACAAGGAACAGCGAATAAATACTTTGCAGTCTTTACTTACAGATGCTGGCGTTAATACTTGGAACTTTGCTCTCTTGCAATCCTTACCTACCCTTTCTTTAAAGTATTATTTCCTCATATTAAATGCCCAATATTTCATCTATTAATTTAATTATAATTAATATTTATAGCACCAACATATTCCACAGCACTTACGTGATCATTATAGAATGGGGATAAAAAAAAAAATTAAACAAGTACTGACATACAAAGTAATACTGACAGAGACAAACGATGGAAAGGGCCAAATGAGCTCACAATCCAAGTGGGGATGTTATTATACTTCTCTTTTTAATGAATGTGCTACCTTAATTTATCTATGGATGTGGTGCAGCCCTCTCCCAGATTATGTCTAGAGAAATTACTATTTACGTTGTTTTATTCAGTGTCAGCCCTAGGTGCCTGCTTTCACCTGATGCAGCAGCGATGCCACTCATCATTAGAAAATTGGGCAGACTAGATGGGCCGAATGGTTCTTATCTGCCGTCACATTCTAGGTTTCTATCATACTTCATTTCAGCCCATTCCTCAATTGCACAAGGTCACTTTTCGACACATGCATAATGGCAAAAAAAAAGAAAAGCTTAAACCATTTGTCATACTGTAACTTATTGAGGTTTTAGTTTATATCATAGTTGTTTTTTCTGAATTACCTGGCTTTGTCTGACTTCCTGATTTAATGTACCTAATCCTGGCTTATGCTTCCTGATTTTGGCTAGTAAATTGTTACTTTGATGTTTTTCTACCCTTTTTCCTCCTTGGAGGTTTTACTCTAAGCCAGGCTACTTTAAGGTCTGGAATATGTCTTTCTGTATTATTTTCCATTCTACATACTAATAGTCGGGCCTGTCATTTTTGCATGAAAGTTAATCGTAAAGTTACATTGTCTGGTTGTCATCATGCTGAATAATGTATTTCCCAAATTAGAACGGTATGCCTCTGAAGTAGGAATCAGTTCAGCTCAGCTGAAATATCCTTTTGCTATAACAGAGATCTGATGTGGAACTTTTTACCGTGTTGCTCAGTATCATGTCTATCTTGTCCTCTTCAGGGGATCCCCGCTCCACTTTACATCTATATACCATCAGCTGCTGTCGGTCTTTCAGGTCCCTGTAGGTCTGTTGGGAGAATGAGAGGAATAATCTAACAATGAGCTGTAAACAGCATTCAGGAACGGTGTAAGAATGATCACAACAAAACTCATTCTACAGACAAAGCAGTGTTAAATGGCAATTCCAATCTCTGTACACCCAAGGTCTGCAATGGCCATGCATTAAACTGCCAAGAGGGAGATGACTGGTATACCAAACCATCTGCACGTATCTGTACTCACATCAATGACAACTTCATGACACTTGTATCTGGTCGCCAATGCTACTTTCGTTTCAGCATCCTCCACAAGACGAATGTAATCTTGTAGGACCTGGAATGAGCAGAAGCTATTAGCGTGAAGAGTTAGCTTGTAATCACATATTAGAAAAGGTAATTTTCTCTGGAACAACATTATAATGAGAGGGTGTGTGTACGCGTGAGTGGTGCGTCTATTTGCACATAACATCATCCATAAACTTTACTGAAATACAAATACAAACCACTTTAACAAGTCTGGTCGCTATCATACCTTTTGTGCTTTTAATAATTTAATTTGAGTAATTTAAGAATAATGAAAGATTTGTCTGTAATACAATTGCCTCCCTAATGTGGCTTAGCTCTCACCTGTGCTGGGGCTCCATTCCTGTGCAGAATCTCCACCACTCTGTGAAAACCCACAGGTGCTCTTTTCTTGGTGTAACCCAACCAATTCTAAAAGTGGAGAGAATCGCAATGTTACCAAGACACGGCAGAGTGAACAGAGAGAGAAAGGACAGAGTGCATGAGGTTCCAGAGAGGGTAGAAAGCATAAAGATTCAGAGACCGATTACAAGGTGGTTATAAATGGGATGACGGGTAAAACTGATAAAGAGGAAAATAAAAACCATGAGTTTTTAGAAAGGATACTCTTAAAAGAGAATCCCTAATCTCAGACCTTTGTAGTAAAAAGAGCATCCACGTCACTCCATGCTTTAAGCTTTGCACGTGCTGCTAGTGCTGTGAGTATATACAATTTTTCTGGGATCTGTAAATGAGTATAATTGTACAGAATACTGGTTAATATGGGAACATTCAAAGATCAGACTATTCAGCCTATATCAATGACAGCTTTCTCTCTATCATCCACGGCCACAGGTTAATTTCTTATCATTACACCAACATCCAGCCCCTTTCCACAATACACCTCCCTCTGTCAAAATATTTAGTCCCTTACCCAATCATTTCTCTCTCCCCAATATATCATCTGATCTCTTATCCCATCAGTACTCTCTTCATAATATAATCTTGTTTCTTACCAAATAAATCCTCTCTCCATAAAATCATCCGGTACCATACTCCAGCAATCATCTTTCCATCATTTCGTCCTGTCCTCACACCATTAGTCCGCTCTTCATCATATCATCTAGTTTCCTACCCCATCAGTCCTCTCTCCATTATATCATCCAGTCTCTTACCCCATTAGCCCTCCTTCCATTATATCATCCAGTCTCTTACCCCATCAGTCCTCACTTCATAATATAATTCAGTCTCTTAACCCATCAGTCCCCTCTCCATTATATCATCCAGTCTCTTACCCCATCAGTCCTCGCTTCATAATATAATTCAGTCTCTTATCCCATCAGTCCTCTCTCCATTATACCATCCAGTCTCTTACCCCATTAGCCCTCCTTCCATTATATCATCCAGTCTCTTACCCCATCAGTCCTCGCTTCATAATATAATTCAGTCTCTTAACCCATCAGTCCTCTCTCCATTATATCATCCAGTCTCTTACCCCATTAGCCCTCGTTCCATCATATCATCCAATCTCTTACCTCCATCAGATCACCCATTTCTTTCCCTTATGTCTCTCTGGGAATATCAAACCCAAATTTGCTATTAAGATTCTTTCCCAGGTACTCTATATTACTGCCTGGCATTACACCGTATTCCTCAAACCTTCAACCAATCATGCCTATCCCATTTCACCTCTCATACTCCGATAGAGTCCTACATCCATTCTCACATAAGTGTCTTATCTAGACATCATGTAATCTAGCTCACCTTGAATGTTTTCCGGATGTTACTTGGGCTGCTGAAAGTCCCCTGAAAATAAAAAATTAAATTAAAAAAAAAGTCTGATTCTCACAACACTTGCATAGTTCTCCATCTTTACATCTAACATGCATTTAGATACTGGTCTGGGATTTGCCTGTTTTAGGAGTGATAAACCTCTCAGAGCTCACATTCTATAGTTATGCTCCTCACAAATATATCCGGGGCCAATAAAAACCATTGTGTGGAAATCTATTCACAAACCGGACTTTACATAGGACACGAGGCCATGCGTTTAGACTGGAAGAAAGAAGATTTCGTCTAAGGCAAAGGAAAGGTTTTTTTACTGTAAGAACAATAAGGATGTGGAATTCTCTGCCTGAAGAAGTGGTTTTATCAGAGTCCATACAGATGTTCAAACAGCTACTAGATGCATACTTGCAAAAACAGAATATTCAAGGATATAATCTCTCAATGTAGGGTAATAACTGCTTGATCCAAGGATAAATCTGACTGCCATTCTGGGGTCAAGGAGGATTTTTTTTCCTAGCTTGTTGCAAAATTGGAAGTGCTTCAAACTGTTTTTTTTTGCCTTCTTTTGGATCAACAGCAAAAAACAAATGTGAGGAAGGCTAAACTCGATGGAACGCAAGTCTCTTTTCAGCTATGTAACTATGTAACAGTGAGAGTAAAGTAAAGGCGCACGTCACTTACCTCTCCCTCCGTATAATGGTAAATACAAGAATAGAATAGAGTGGTAACGAGTGGCATGAAGATTAGAGATGCCTTTCTAGGATATTTGCGGAACATCTGATCCTGTCCTGTGGATTCCAAGTGCCGGTCGTTGGCCTGAAAATACATGATCATTGCAGTCACACATTACAATGATGGTTCAAAGACACTGATCATCTTTACACACATTCTAAATTGCACTGAAATACATAATCTGCATATCACAAGGCAAATACAATACCCAAGCAAATACAGGGAGGATTAGCACAAACAGCACTGTCACCCTTTACATGTCCTATCCATATTGCTGTATATTGCCTTAACTAAGGATTGAAATTTAATATATAGCTCTCCAGCATGAAGCATTCCTGGGCGCTAAATGAACCATAGACCATATACAGCTCTTTTACCCGGTTTAGGTTTATCGGCCTAGTGTTGGCGTAATTGATAGATATCACATACAGTAGTAATGAAGAAAAGAAAAAATAAATATCCTCAGGAGTTAAATATATAGCAGAATATGCTGAAGGGCAACATCAACATGAGACAAGGAAATAATAACAGACAGGCAGATATATTGAGCGATAAACACCGAAAGTCCTGGTGCATGTAATGTGCCGAAATGTAAGAATCTCATGAAACCCTCTTTAAAAATGAGAGACATGCCGCCCCACGTCTTACCTCTATGATGATCTGTCTTTCTAGTAAAGTGTAATGGTCCTGTACATGGGAAGCATCTTCTTGGGAGAAGGGAAGGCTGAATGGGGAGAGAAAGAGCAAAGAGTGAATGAGAAAAATGAGAAGTGAAGGGAAAGGAAGAAGTGGGTGAATGAGGAGCGGACAGATACAAAGCAAATAAAAAGGGGAGAATAGTAAGCAGAATGAGAGAGAACGGGTGAGACTGAGTAGGTAAAGGTGGGAATGACAAAATGAGGAACTAAGAATGGGAGGAATGGATGAGCAAGAGAAAACAGAATGGAGTTTGATGAAAAATAAAAAGGTGAAAACCATAAACAAACAGAAGATGAAGCGGCTGAATCTGGGTATAGGAGAGAAGGATCTAGGGGGGATGGTGCCAGGGATAAACAACCTATGTTGAGTATGTATAGGATGAGTGAGTGTGTGAGATCTGAGGATGTAGATGATGTAAGTGCTGATGCTGGGGAATGCCAACATGGGGACCCTCAATAATGCGGACCTGATACATTTGGTTTTCAGAAAATCTCTCCTTTCCTCTGCACTGCTAATGTTCAGATGTTCTCTGTATTTACAAATCTGGAGAAGATAGGATAAAATGTTGATTGTGAATTAGTAGCACACATGTATAGCTCTAACCCATGTCTATCCCATTAATAGCACGTGTCTAGCTCTAACCCATATCTATCCCATTATTAGCACGTGTCTAGCTCTAACCCATGTCTATCTCATTATTAGCACACGTGTATGGCTTTATCCTATTATTTGCACACGTGTATAGCTCTATCCCATGTCTATCTCATTATTAGCACACGTGTATTGCTCTATCCTATTATTCGCACACGTGTATAGCTCTGTCCCATGTCTATCCCATTATTAGCACATGTATAGCTTTATCTTATTATTCGCACATCTCTATCCCATTACTAGCCTGTGTATTATCAGCACACGTGTATAGCTTTATTCTATTATTCACACGTGTGTATAGCTCTAACCCACGTCTATCCCATTATTAGCACGTGTAAAGCTTTATCCTATTATTCGCACATATGTATAGCTCTATCCCATGTGTCCCCATACTCACAGCTAGCTCCTCAGCTCGATCCAGAAACCTGTAATGAGAACATGTCACTTTAAGAAGAGCTATTTCCATTACAGGAGCCAAATTACTGTCCTAAATAACAACGCCATCTACCCCTGGTCTCAAAGCTGTCCAACCCCAGCACTGAGCGCCATTTGCACATCACACATGCTACCTGTCCAAAGACCCCTATTTAGCCGACAGCATTTCCCCCCCACTTGCCTTCACTCACCTGAATAGATCCATTAGGAGTTGTTGCTCCTCCGTCTCTCTAAGGAAGTGGATAAAATGCCGCAAAGCCACTTGTCTGCGCTCAAGCTCCCGAAACAGAACCTCTAAGAAGGAGATAGATGCCTAAAACTGCTGCAAAGGATTCTGGGACTAGCAGGGCGACTATAAGTTATCTTTACAGATTCAGAGCATTTTCCACCAATAACAATCACCAGAATGCTTTGATGTCACATTAGGCACACCAAAGCTTCAATTGTCTCACAGTGACTGAGTGATGGAGTGAGCATGACAAAGAGGTGATAAGTGTTGATAAGAAGGGAACTTTGCATGCATTCTCTCAAGCAATGCTTCAGACTGTACAGTGTTGTAAATAATAAGTGTGCTTATGAGATATGGTGAAGATTGTGAATTTATCCAAAGGTGCAGTGAGACATCTTGGATTTTATGAAATATAAAAACCATCAAATAATAATAATCTCTGCTTGGGACATTGCAATAATATATTGCCACTTGAATTCTTTTAACTCACCAGAATTTAATGTTTTTTTCAGGAAAATTAAAACCTAAAAGTAAAGACAAACAAAAACAACATTAGATGACTGGTACTGGCCTATTTAAGAGAAAAATAGAATATTGTGAAGAACGTGCAACACATTGAGATGTGAAAGGAGGAGGAGACTATATTTAAAAGAAGTGAAACTATCACAACAAGAGGACATAGTCTTAAATTAGAGGGACAAAGGTTTAAAAATAATATCAGGAAGTATTACTTTACTGAGAGGGTAGTGTATGCATGGAATAGCCTTCCAGCTGAAGTGGTAGAGGTTAACACAGTAAAGGAGTTTAAGCATGCGTGGGATAGGCATAAGGCTATCCTAACTATAAGAGAAGGCCAGGGACTAATGAAAGTATTTAGAAAATTGGGCAGACTAGATGGGCCGAATGGTTCTTATCTGCCGTCACATTCTATGTTTCTATGAAAATCAAATAAATATATATATATATATACATATACATACATACACATACATACACACACACACACACACACATACATACATACACATGGTATTAGTTCAAGAGCCATAGTTTTTGTTCGACTGAGTCAACATGCCTGACTTTGTACAGCCCTGTTGATATTTTAGGCAATAGAGAAAATCCAGCAGTCGAAAAACTCACAGCAGTGATCACGTTTCCATCGTGGAGTCCAACTGCTTCATCCAAAAGTTGCAGTTTTTCTTTCAGAGCCCGGAATCTCTCCATTGAGCAGCTCTATAGAGAACAAAATGGTTTAATGCAGAACTTTGTCACGTAGATAAACCCATTAAAACCCAGATCCTGGCATAAGGCTTTAACTAATTATTGTACAAAAAGTGGCACTTTGACATTAATGAGCCATAAAAATCTAGCACAGTAAACAAAAATGGTCTGTCCTATATAAACAAACACATAGCACCAAAAATAATATAGAATGGCGAGTAAGTCATTAAAAACGATTGGAAATAGAAACCAAACACATTTGCACACATTTATTTGATGTTGGTTATTCCTATTTATTGCCTTCATTTAATATTTTTGGAGTAGCTTTCCAAATAATTTATAGTGGCAATGTCACCCCACCACCTTCCCCAAAACGAGTATTTTATAAAGATAGAATCTTTACGAAATACTCAGATTGACTGTATTAGAATTTCACTGAAATTTCAAACCATTCAAATTATATACTGAGTGGAGGACGGCCGCAAAGAAAGGGAATATGGCACCGTACCCCTCCCCCCTCTTGCCCCTGACACACAACGAGGACTTCCCGCCGGGTCTGGACCCTGGAACCCTCAAACACATCTTCCCAGACAGAACCCCACGCCTACACCACTTCCTCCAAGGTGGGAAATGTAAAACACTAACGGACTTGATGGGAGAGACGCCCCCGACCTTTATGCACCGCTTCCGACATGCCCAACTGACCAATTACATCCACTCCCTACCGCAGGGACCAGCACTGGCCAGAGACCAGACCACGATAGAAGTGGTCAGCTCACACCCAGACCCGCTCCCGCATGGAGTGTCCTTCTTATATTCCATGCTCCAATCAGAAACCCCGTCCGAGACACCACTATTCATGGGAAAATGGGAAACAGCCCTGGGTAACACACTAACGGAAGCAGAATGGGAAACCATCTGCTACCTTACACACCACTGTTCCACTCACAGCAAAACACAGGAAACGGCCTACAAGCTTCTAACACATTGGTATAGGACACCACATCTCCTTCATCACGTAAACCCAGACCACTCCAGACTCTGCTGGAGATGTGAAAGAGAGGTGGGCACCACAAAACACATCTGGTGGGATTGCGCGATGATCCAACCATACTGGAAGAGGATACACAAAATGCTAGAGAAGTTCGCGGACGCGCCCCCCCCCCTGGAACCGGCAGCGATGCTCCTACACCACACAACAGTTCCCCGATCCAAATACAAAAAATCCATGACCATTAGAATACTTAACGTGGCCAAACGAGTGCTCCCCCAATTCTGGAAACAAACAGTTACACCTCCACTTTCGACCTGGTTTAGCCAAATGGAAGAACTAAGGTCGATAGAGGAACTGACCATGACGGCCAACACTACACCCACTACCTACATGAGCATCTGGACGCACTGGATTCTAGAGACGGCAAAAGAAGAGTTCCAATTAGAACTCAGGCCTAACACTAACGGGAACCACGACACAGACAGATAGTACTCAGAACACACACCCCAGACGACGCTAGATGGTCGACAGACGAACTGGACGGAACTACCCCCCCCTTCTTCCTTTCTTCCCACCCAGACACATTCCCCCCCTCTTGCTCCCTGCGAAATACCAGAGCATCATCATTGACTGAATCATCCCCACCGCACCCATAGCGACAAGGGAAAACATATTTGGGAACGATCAACGAACACGAGCTGATACTTACATCCAGACCGGCCCGGGAAGACACCCCAAAGCCAAAACATGCGAACACCTGAGGGAACCCTGGACAGGCCCAGCATTGACACGGCTAATGCAGTATCCACACGCCCAAGGTAAGGGTACCCTTTACCCGCAATACCACCATTCCCCTGGTTAAACACGGGAAACACCGATAGTAATAACGGGGGTAAACACAAGCCCACCACGGTCGATGACACATAGCTAAGGACACAGGGCCCGATGAGACGCCGTGGACAGGGACCATAGGGGTGGCCTACAAACACTGACACCTAATCAAAGACTGATTAATCTGGTTCAAGGACGATTACAAAGCATTATGTTCACTCAGTTCATGAAAACGTTACTTAATTTATAGTCCCAAACAAATGTAAATACCAGAAAATGGGGACCTGCGAGTCCTTCTGTGATGGGGCCTGCGAGCCTAATTTGTTACCTTTTATAATAACATGCAATGGAGACCTGCGCGTCTCACCGCAAATTTAAATACACAAAATGAATAAAAATCATATTCACAAAAAATTATATACTGAGACAAAGTATGGGCTTCCTTTGTCTCAGTATTTATCCTCCACTTGACAAGGCTTGACACTAGGAAGTGCTGACAAGTCTTGCCATTTCCCCCAGCCATCACCAGTGATGGCTGGAGGGAAATTCGTTCTTTCTATGAAGGTTCCAGTGGAATCATCAACAGACCTCAATGCTGTGCTCCCACACATGCGTGAGAGTGCAGCGCTAACGTCAGCTCCTGGCAGCTGAAGCAGCAGGATCTTAAGAGGAGCAAGCACCCGCGAGGGACAAGTTCAGGTAAGTATATTTCCCCTTTGACTGTCCCAGGACCCCGATCACGGATGCCACGGTTTGGGAGTCTTTGCAAATTCTACAAAAGACCCTGGATGGTGACAGATCCACTTTAATATTTTGTGGGTAGACTTCTGAAATTATTTAACAACATGAAAAATATTTTATGATTTATATTTTGATCTGTTAATATTTAAAATATATATTTTAAAAGTTGATCCAAAAATACTGAATCACTTGAAAAGCTTATCCAAAAAAAAAAAAAAAGTGTGATATCACATATCATGCCTCTTCGTGAACCTGTGTATTTAGGGGGTGTCTTACCTTTCCTTTCTGCAATCGTCGAACAGTGTCCTCAATGCTCCAATCTCCACTGTAATCCTGAAACACAGCCATAAGTGGACAGTGAGGCAGACACAAACTGAGAGGCACCCCAAGTTTCTAACCAACAAAATAATTTGTAGGTGAAAGTCCATCCCTTGCTCTTCACCCCCTAATAATATTATATTATAGACTTCTTCTCCTGCTCTCCTGTTACCTGATACTCAGACTTGGGTTTACGCAGCTCTGGAGCAAGACTTTTCATATTTGTATCCAGAAGAACTGAAAAATAAAAAAGGGATTGGGATATGGTCACAACCAGACAAAACAACTAACAAACAACAGTTTTATATGCTTAGATTTAGTAAAATAATAATAGTTACCATCAGACAAGGCCTGAAAGCTGCTCGTTCTGGACTTTACTGTAAAATGAGAAGAAGCAGAGGCGAGTTAAGTCTCAAACACAAAAAAAAGAACGGTATGAGACGCATATAATAGCTGGACACAAGGTGCCTTTTACAGGGATTGAGAAATAGGTGATGTTACAAAGACAGAGAGAGACAAGGAAACAAAAGCCACATTTGCAGTCAAAGTTCTAGAAACAAACACATAAACATGCAGGAAATTGTGAAAAATGTAAAAAGATTATTATTGTTATTTGCTTGTATAAAATGACAGCTTCCTGTTTTAGTCACCATCATATATATGACAATTAATAGGATTAATAAACATTGTGCGGCGGGTACACGCCAGCAAAACGTAGTCTTGTTGGGAAAGGTCAAGTTGTCCACCTTCATCTTTACATTGTTTTACCCATCTATCCACCATCTGATAGATGAAAAGGTTATTTAAAGGAACACTATAGCCTGCTGTGGTGTTTATGGTGCCAGGAGTGCCTTAGCGCCATCGCACGGTAACATGTCAAATTGTTTAACCATGCTTTTACTACTTACCTGGGTTCCACCAGGCACCGACGATAAATCCACATGACCCTTTCGAGCAAGGCAGGACAACAATGGACTCGGCTGATGAACTTGGCTAATGATTGTGGTTCAGAATGGGCCTGGTTTGTTCTAAAGAGACATCTGCCTTCCTTCCTGAAGAAGACCAGATGTGATGTAAAATAGTTTGACATCTTACCATGGGACTCTGCCAGCTTGGTCCTAGCACCATAACCACACCAGACAGCTGGAATGTGCCCTTATTTTCACATTCCCAGGACGCTCCTGGGTCAGGAAAACAAATAGGCTTCATACCATGCCGAGTCAGATGCACAGAAGTCAGTACATCTCTTAATGTGGTTACCATTTGGAAAGAGCTGATACCTGCCAGGTGTGAGAAATATAAATAACACTGCACCTACACATTTGTTAGTTGTGCAGTTAGCTGGTATTTGCAATAAATGTTTAACTCATTTTGTGTCCCCTTCTTACACATGCGATGTATTCTTGGTTACGTGCATTCTGCGCATTACGAATAGTCTAACCTTTAAAGAGGTTGCTCAGGGCATTTGCAGATCCGATTTTGGAGTAGGCATAAGATGATGTATCGGCTGTGGGTCTATGTTCTCTCGTCTCAGTCCCTGCTCGGGCGTTTGACGCAGTTTCTTGAATGGACCATGATATACCTACAAGTAAATCAATTAGATGTGTGCTGTCTGCGCTCAGCTTCGATAACGCAACATACACTTTAAAGCACGAAGCCTTCCTAATACTCCAGACTAAGCTTTGCCGTACCCACTGTTTTTTTAGATAATGTGTCTTTATTGCGCAGTATTAAATAAAGAATTAAAATAAATAATTAGCTGAGAAGTAACAGTTCTTTAAGAATAATATTGTATGTTGCTGTAATAAGAAAGAGGTCAACTCTAAATAAGAAAAAAAATATATATATATATATATAATATTGACTTCTACTTGCTTTTTCTTGTGGATCACTGCATTTGTCTGATTTTCAATAAGGGTCCTCACAATTATTAACAAAACATGTAATTTATTTTAGTTTCAGTGATGTGGCACTAATAGGATTAGATTAATGTGATTCAAAGCTGCGTGTGGCTATTAGAGTTAGATAAAACTATTAGTCTGATTTACATATAATTCCAAAAATGACAATTCATTCTTTAATGAAAACCCTTATGTTTGACAGTTCTTTTGGCAGATATAACATAAACCATGAAATCACATAACGGACACACATTGAATTTCTTAAATGTAACTCTTGAGAACTCACTTCCAACAGGTTCCCCACTCCAGGTAAACCTCTCCCCTTCATCGTCCTCTTCATCTACAATGGCTTTCAAACTATTTACCGCTCGCTTGGATTCCTTCAACTGTCAAAAAAAACAAAAGAAATTAGTCAATTAACTGTAAGTAGAAATTTACTTTGCTATAGCCAGAAATATTCCATGCACCTGATATAGTTCATCATCGTCATCGTCAAAAGTGAAGGCCTTGAACTTGGATCCGTGCCAGTATTCTTCCTCCTCTGTTTTAACCCTGGACATCTGGACAGAGCAAGGGTTAACTCTAGGACACCGTGAGAAAGTGTTACCTATAGGACACAATGAGGGACAGAGAAATAGTGTCAGCTTTAGCACACATCAGTAACAGGGCAAGAGAGGATATACAGCGAGGAGATCCACTAGATAGGGTAATTCCAAGATATCATCACTTGTACAACACAGACAGGTATGGAGCATGTCTTCTAAGGCACCACAATGGACTTACTACTAAGGCAGAGACAAATGCAGAGGTAGCAATGTACTAAAAGACAAGGAAGCAGCTCATCGGGCTCTGAAGATATGTAGTCACAGCAATTCCTATAGAGTGAAGCAAGGTACGGGGTGACTGCAATGACTTGTTTGTAGCAAGGTACAAGGGACTGGGTCACCTGTGACTCAGATAGAGGTAAATGGAAATTGTAACCTATAGTGTGCAACAAAGTACAGGTAGACTGTGTCGCCTCTAGTAGGCAAGATGACATAGGAGACTGCATCGAGTGTAGCAACAACACAGAGAGTGCCTCACCTCTAGAACACAGATATCCAGTTGAACTGCCTCAAGGCTGGCACACAGTGGAGTACAAATAGTCTACTTTACCACTAGCACACGGAGAGGAACAGGTAGAGTGCATGGCCAGTAACTACCAGCAAGGTACAGGTATCCTGGATCATCTATAGTGCAGAGCAAAGTATAGGTACGTTGCTAGGTAGATTTAGCAAGCAGGAAGGTGCAAACAGAGTGAGTCGCTTCTAGCACAGAGCAAAATACAGGGAAAAAGCACTCCCTCTAGCGCACAGCTCGGTACGAAGGCAGTGCATGGCTTCTAGCACACAGCAATGTACAAGAAGATAGCATTGCCTCTAGTATACAGTGAGATACAGGGAGACCGCATGGTGCTGAGCATACACCCAGGATGGAAGGTACAATGAAGCAGCTTCAAGTCTACAGTA